TTGGGGGCAATATGCTGACTCTGTAAATCGCTTAGAGAGGACTGAAAGCCCTATGAAGCGGTATATAAGTCTAACTGCTATTGCTATTGCTATTGCTATTGTTCAAGTGAAACCCACAGAGGCAACTGTGTATTTAATAAAAATCTACTTCCAAGTAGACAGTAACGACAGAATATGTTTCCTAAAGAAATGGTTGATCTCCTACCTAAGCTGAAAGTAAACTTGACATTTCCTGTTGGAGATTTATTTTTTTTAGTGGCTTTCAAAAGCAAAGGCTTCATCCGTCACTTTTCAAATGTATCATCCCACTATAAAAATCTTATATTTTGAGAATTTGGGGTGGGGGGGAAATGAAAATGAATTACTTACAATGTAAGGATTGTGCTTCATCTGCAACCTTCCCCCAATTCTGTTTTGAACTACAACTTCATCCTTCTTATTCAGCATCTCTGTTTATGGCAGTCAGCACCTCCAGTGATTTTAGAGTTTAGAGTTTTATTTCATTTGTATGCCGCTCTTTTCCCTAAGGGGACTCAGAGCGTCTCACAACTCAAACAAGGGAAGGGGGATAAAGACAGTTTGACAACAACACAAAGTGGTATCAGGAAGAAATTATGAGAGGGGTAACTGTTTAATCCAATGGTGTATGGAGAACGGAGAGAATCAGAGAGAGATTGCAGTCCATTGGAGCGGAAGTAGGAGAGAATAATGCAATCGTGGAAGGAGATTCAGTGTTTACTTTTGAAAGGTAACATCAATCTCTTCACTGCATTGTCCTATCCTGCTCAACCTTATATGGACTGGAATTCAACTTTATATAGTTACAGTATTTGATATATTTTCACCCGAGGCTGAAATCTGTTCTTGTTTCCATAGTTTGACTATATGACTATAAAATATCATATAGGGACTGGAGGCTAAAACCTATAAAGAACGGTTGCAGGAACTGGGTACGTCCAGTTTAATGAAAAGAAGGACGAAGGGAGACATGATAGCAGTGTTCCAATATTTCAGGGGTTGCCACAAAGAAGAGGGAGTCAAGCTATTCTCCAAAGCACCTGAAGGCAGGACAAGAAACAATGGGTGGGAACTAATCAAGGAGAGAAGCAACTTAGGAATAAGGAGAAATTTCCTGAGGGTGAGAACAATCAATCAGTGGAACAACTTGCCTCCGGAAGTCATGAATGCTCCAACACTGTAAGTTTTTAAGAAGAAGTTGGATAACCATTTGTCTGAAATCTCTACTGTCAAGAATGATAAGATTTATATAAACCTCTTTTCCTACTGTCTTTTCACCAATCCAACGCGCTCTACATGGGGCTACCCTTGAAAAGCGTTCGGAAACTGCAGCTAGTCCAGAATGCGGCCGCGCGAGCGATATTGGGTGNAATCCTCCAATCACAGAAGAGAATAGAGCGAGGAGAAAAGGGGTGGGGCTGCGGGCTGGGGAATTCTGGGAGTTGAAGTCCTCCAGGCTTAAAGGTCCCAAGGTTGGAGAAGATCCCTGTATAAAGCAGCTACACCAACGCCGACCCCTGAATCCTCCAATCACAGAAGAGAATAGAGCGAGGAGAAAAGGGGTGGGGCTGCGGGCTGGGGAATTCTGGGAGTTGAAGTCCTCCAGGCTTAAAGTTGCCAAGGTTGGAGAAGACCCCTGTATAAAGCAGCTACACCAACCCCTGAATCCTCCAATCACAGAAGAGAATAGAGCGAGGAGGAAAGGGGTGGGGCTGCAGGCTGGGGAATTCTGGGAGTTGAAGTCCTCCAGGCTTAAAGTTGCCAAGGTTGGAGACCTCCTTTATAAATATAGCCAACATCGCGCAGCTGCACCAACACCGACCCCTGAATCCCCCAATCACAGAAGAGAATAGAGCGAGGAGGAGGAAAGGGGTGGAGCTGTCGCGGTGGTCGACTAAACTAAAGGGCTTGAATCAGGAAAAAATAGTTTCCTGTGGCGAAGAAAAGGGTTCTCTTATTTCATTTCCTCTCCGGGACCTCCGCGCTCCCCAAAAACTCTCCTCAAGGTCGCAGATAGTACCATATGCGGAGAAGGGTGGGCGTGGCAAGGGTGGGTGTGGCAAGGCCGGGCCTGCAAGCGTGAGGAGAAGGGGTGTGTGTGTGTGTGTGCGCGCGCGTCCGTGCGGGCGCGCGCTGGGAGTCTTTCGGCCCCGCCCCCGGGGGGGAGGTCTTGTTCCCGCTTAAATTATTATACTCCATCTCCGCCCTCTCCCTCCCCCCGCCCCCCACACGCCTTTTCTCTCACGACAGTGAGGCGCGCGCGCGCCCCCGCCCGCTTCCCAATTTGCCGCGCGGGGAGGCTACGTGCGTTTGAGCTTCTGGCGAATGTCGTTTTTTTCTTGCTTTCTTACGGGTTCTTGTGGGAGGCCCCGCCCCCTTTTCTTGCTTTCTTACGGGTTCTTGTGGGAGGCCCCGCCCCATCCTTTTCTTTCTTTCTTTCTTACGGGTTCTTGTAGGAGGCCCCGCCCCGCCCTTCTTCTTACGGGTTCTTGTGGGAGGTCCCGCCCCGCCACGCCCCATCCTTCCTCGGGGGAGGGGGGGGAAGAGGGAGGGAGAGAGGCCAGGGGAAAAGGGGGCGTGCCTCCTGCTCCGAATGCCTTTTCCTTGCCACCCATAGAGATAAAGCGACCTGCTTTGCAACGGAGCAGCGCTGCTTCCCACGAAACTCCGAAGCAAGAGCGGCAAGGGGTGCGGGGTGGGGGGGGGAAAAAAGGCGAAGCTGGCTTCTCCCGAAGCGGGAGCTTTTGGCGTAGCGGTCGGCGCCATGCGATGGAGACCCGCGGCTCGGCAGTCCTGAGTTTGGGGCAACTTTTTGCTCCCTTCGGGGAGTCCCAGCCCAACGAAGAAGCTGCCTTAGCCCCAGCATGGCGAGAAGAAGACGCCGAGGAGGAGGAGGAAGAAGAGGAGGCGACGGCAGAAGCACCAGCGGAGGAGAACCAGCAGCCGGAGCGGGACTGCAACGCTGCAGCCGCCCGGGAGAAGGACGAGGAGGTGCTGCTGGAGTGGCGCCGCCGCCGGCCCGGCCGTTCCTTCTCGCTGCCGGACAGCCCGGTGCGGTTCTTCCAGAGGCGGCTGCTGCCGGGCGACAGCGACGGGAGCGAGAGTGATGAGGACGAGGACGGCGGCGCGGCGGCGGCTTCCCCGACGGCGGCCCTCCGCGGCGGCGGCTGCTGCACCAAGCGGGTGCAGTTCGCCGACGCCCTGGGCTTGTGCTTGGCCAGCGTGAAGCATTACAGCGCGGCCGAGGAGCCGCAGGTGCCCCACGCCGTCCTCTCCCGCTTGCAAAGCTTCCCCATGCGCCAGAGGGACTTCGAGGACTTCACCGCCGCCTTGGCCGAGTTGGGGGGTTGCGCGTCGGCGGGGTCGCCTTTCCCTCGGTCTCCGCCCCAGGTCCCGCTCCGGCTGGCTCCCCCGTTGGATGGGGCGGACGAGCCCAACGGCGCCGAGCGGTTGCGGCGGGACCGCGTCTGCCTGGAGGAGGTGGCGGGCACGGCGCTCGGCGGGGCGCCCACGGACGTGCGCGGCGTGGCGAGGGTGCTGAGCTGCCCGGGCTCCAAGGAGGTGACGGTGCGCTACACTTTCAACGAGTGGCTTTCTTTCCTCGACGTCCCGGCTCTGCCGCTGCCCGATGGCGGGGACCCTTCGGACGGCTCGCCTCCGGTCGAGCGTTACCAGTTCTCGCTCTGCCTGCCTCCCGGTTTGCCAAACGGGACGGCCGTGCATTTCGCCATCTGCTACCGGAGCCAGCAAGGGGAGCATTGGGACAACAACGGCGGGGCCAACTACACCCTCCGCGATTGCAGTGCCGAGAAGCCCGCAACTCCCCTGTGATGAGAACTCGGGAGGTTGGGTTGGGTGCCAGGCGGCTCTTGCCCCGAAATCGCTCCAAAAAAACCAGCCTAATTTGCCTTGCGTCATTGCGATCTTCCGGAGTCCTGCAGCGCAGCATCCTAAGGGCTGAATCCTATCCACCACTTGCCTTTGCGCCCCTTGCCAAACTTGCGAGATAAGCCAGCCACATCACTTCGCGCTTCAGTCATCCTTGCCCGCCGCCAGCCTGATAAGCCTTTGCGGGTTTCGAACTGGATCGAAGAGGCAGCCAGGGGAGAATCGTGGTCCGGCTTAGGAGAGGGAGAGAGAAGGAGACGTGCCTTGTTTGAGTTATCAGAAGAATCCCAAATATTTCTGGCACTTTTTGACCCGGGAAATGAGAATGAGAATTAATGAAATGAGAATGAGAATTAAGACCCATTGGATAGCAATCCTTGTGAAGTCTTTTTTTGCCCTATATTTGGGGCTATATTCACTTTTGGGTATGGAAAAAAAGAAAGAACTACAGTAGGATTGGAACTTTGTCCCCTTTAAAAAGCCATCTGTGGATTTGAGCTGCTTTTTCCTGCTTTAGGCAGTGACTTCTACAAAGCCTAGAATTGCTGCTGTCCCGAATTCAGAACCCTTCTCTGGGAATTGGAATAACTAGAGCAAAAAAAAATAACGTTTGAATGTTTGAAGGTTTTCCCCTATTGTGCCTTAGAACAAAGCTTCTTTATAATTGCAGCTGTGAAATGATGTTATGTTTGCAAATATCAAGTCTAAGGGATGACTACTCTTATTTTGCTGTAGGTGATCGTTGTGTTGGAAACTACTTAAAATATTACTTAACACTTCTTAGCACAGGAATTGATCAGGTCTTGAATAAAGGGTGCATGGTTTGCGTTGAAAATTGTAATGTCTGCTCCATTATCCAGGGATCACGTGTCTTAAGAACAATTCCCACGCTATTTGGAGATTGGAGATCCGTATAAGCTGTGAACTAAGTGGTTCTACCACAAAACCGCGGACGACAAAATCGCGGTCGACGAAAGCGCGTATGTGACGTCATCACAGCGCGACGGAAAAGATCGAAAAATGTAAAAATAAAGCGAAAACCTTACCCTAACCCCCCCCAAACCTAACCCTAAACCTAACCCTAAACCTAACCCTTAACTTAACCCTAAACCTAACCCTAAACCTAACCC